AGATTCAAGACTGATTTCTTCAAGAGTATGGTTTCTTGAAGAAATTAGTTATTCTCCTTTGAATCCAAATTTTGGTTTCGATTTGTGTTGGAGCTTGCAAGCTAGTGCCATGGGATGAACGAGCTGGAGAAGGAGCTGCCATTGCCATGAAGAACTGAAGCTTTGCTAAGTTGGAGAAGAAAATTGCACAAAAGAGGTATAGCTCATCTTCCTAAATAGATCTAGGTTTTTCTTGAGTTTGCTTGTGTTCCTTTGTAAGAATCTTTTTCTACTTAGTAGATTGCCTGGTCGGTTGATAACCCCCAATTTTTCCCAATGGTGGGTTTCTGGGTGAACAGTTTCTGGTTTCCAACTCTGTAAATTTTCTGGGTTTGTGTTCTTGATAGTTGACTAGTCATCTGGGTTTGTGCAGTTGACTAGTCATCTTTTTCTGCTGTTTGGTGTTTGCTTGATTATGCTGTCTTCACATACTTTCACCATAGTTGTTGCTAGCACAGGGGATGCCTAGATTGACGGGTCCTTCTGAGTGCCTAGGTTGTCACTAGTAATTCTATAGGCTTGCAGGTACATCTTTGTATGCTCTGTGTATGTTATTGTTTGGTATAATTCATATATGACAATTGACGAGTCATAAGAGTATTTGGTTAAGGTCTAGAGTGTGAAGTTTGCTGCGTTCTTGGTTGAATATCTTTTAAATTTACCCCTCGTCATCTAAGTACCAATTTCACCTATCAAGAGTGGGGATGGTCGTCGTCTTAACAAATTTTGGCGTAAATCTATAAGGTACGTAGTTGGTTAGATTTTGTTAAAATTATTTGGTTATAGTTTTGTTTAGTTTTAATTGTATTTGACATAAATTCTTTGTATTGTTTGTAGGGAGTTGATTGATGGTCAAGGTCGCATACATTCTAAGGGGTTATATCATGGTGGGTTAGGTTCAAAGAATGTATTTATTGGCGAATGTCTGAAGGTAATTAACATTAAGGGAGATTTGGATGAGTTTAATACTGATGAAGACCGTGAGAATAAGAAGAAAGAAGATATTACGGACCTTTTAGGGATTTTGGACAACTAGTTCGAATTGATACTAGCGGGGGGCAAAAGAAGTTGGCTGGAATGTCAACACTTCTTTGATTTTGTCAACCGTGCTAAGACTTTTAATTTGGAGTGAGTTGTCTATCTCTCTCTTTTTTTTCTTTTTTTTTTACGTCATTTAATTTGGATAGATTTGGTACAATATTAGTTTCAGAAATTGTTTTACAACTGCAGTATTAAAACAAGTACGTGTGACACTAGGGACAGCGCCTTTTATATACATGCGCGACGTTTTTCTTTCCAGCAATTACTAAGTTAACTACTACCAATAATTTATTGCTGAAACAAAACAATGAATGTAGTGATGTAATATCAATAATTTACTAACGCAAAAAAATCCTCACCAGCCGTGTGTGTGTGTGTGTATATATATATATGTTGTCGTTCTTTTGTAAGTTAAACAACAGCAAAATGAAAAGTTCACGCTAAAATTTTATGAATCAATTTTATACAACCAATATACCTTTTGAAAAATCACATTCAATGCAAACCCATATATAAATAAGTGAAATAAAACAAAGGAACTACATTTTGAAAAAGAAAAGAATTACCACTCAATGGCTTTGGCAATGGTTGTCAGTTCAGACAGCGTAATCAGAGAATACAAATTAAATCCAATAAGTAAGCCATTGGCGATCGTCAGCAGGAGACTTTGTGTCAGCAGAATTATCCTCCTCTCTGAGCTCATTCTTCTCATGGGTCATCTATTCAATTTTCAAACAACTTGCATGAAAAGATGATTCATTAAAAAGATGCACTATTAAATCAATGTACAGCTTTCTTCTCATCAGCTCTAACCTTTTTTTTTTGGGGTCATAAATCAGCTCTAACCTACTGATCCATAAGGAATGATCCAAACTAACCACTAGGGTTTTAGCTAAATAGCAGAATTAAGTACGCATGTATTTTTTGAATCATCTACACAAATGACACAGCAGCAAAATGTTTGGGGGCAAAGAAATTTGTATAGTTCCTTTATACATAGCTAGATTCAGACAACAGGGGATGCATTCTCCTTTCGTAAGTACTGAATCTGACCAAGCAAGTACTTTTAACAGTCCAGTAGCTTCACACAACATATAGATGCCTTTCAATTGTTCAGCTGATTTAGTTCTGTGCAAGAGTCATTTCAAATTAAGAATGACCCACCATCATATCAAAAATTGATTACATTAAGAGAGACATGGTGAACTTCTCATAAATAAAAGGCAACTTACTGTGAGCATCAGCCAGCTAAAGAAAAAGCTCACTAAAATGCTCACGCTTATATTTCTCACTCTCAGCCTTGTGGATTCTGTAAGTACTTTTTCTAGGACAAGCCCTGCCCATCAAACAGCTTTCTAAACATCCATCCAAGAAATCTGAGTGATTTTTCATCCTAATAATAAACAGTCATGTTAAGCCACTTGGATGTGGTACATCATTATTCTAAATGACTTCACACAAGTTGATAATGAGCCAGAGGAAATTCTGTTGGAAGACCCTCTAAAATCTTTTATAAAGCATGAGCAGTATGAAGTTCAAAATCAATGAAGTACAGGAGGCTTGTTTTTTTTCTTTAATTTTTTTTTAAAAACAGTATTACCACATCAGAACAAGATAAATCTGAAATAAATCAGCTTTATCAACAGTGAATCTAATTCTTTCTTCATAATAGAGCTTAAATGAACACTTCTGTCAAGATTTGCACCTTATTTTGAATCCTCTAATCAGTTAGAAAGGCTACCTGTCAACACTACTATTAACCTTGATAATACAAGTCTATCAATCATAGGTTCCTTCACATAGAGACAATAAGCTTTGTCTGAGTATATTCTATTCCGAGAAGTATCCATCACTAGTTGCATCTATTTTCTAATTCAGGATCAGCCGAAACAAATAACTAGTGGGCAGCACATCCAACGTTCGCCAAAGTTTGGTAGATTTCGACAGGGACAAAACTTATACCGATTCCACATCATAATGTATGTACCCTGTATCTTTTTCATCATTCCTTCAGAAACCCCATTTCTAAATTTTCAATTTGCAACTCCCTTTCCAAATCTTACACTATTTTGCATCATCAAGCTTCTAAAGTAGGACAAGCATTACAACATCCAATCCTTTAATTATAATATGCCAAACATTACAACATCCAATCCATATAATAGAAAGTTTCTAGCACTCATAACAATGCTTATGCGCTCATGTGAAAATTAAGATCTGAACAACTTACCCGCGCACTGAGGCCTCCGTTACATTAGCCTTGTCAGCCGCCGGAACAGGATCCTGTGAACCCATGATCCGATAATAGTCTCTATGAACTGAATAGGGCCTTATATCCTATTAAAATAAGCAATACCAAATTCAGACATTCTTGAATCTTGTCAGATGATCCTCCAAAGAACAGTAGGCAGCCATATTTATCGTTATTGGGCCTGAGGTTTTGCACTGCATATTTAACATAACTTTCAAGTACAGAACTGAATTTTAAAATGAAACCCTAGCGGTTAGTTTTCTTTCCAACAAATGATTGCTCAGTAAACAAAAACCCTTAATCAACTGAACCGCAGAAATATTACAATTAATAAATTGAAATGATAGCCTTTAACCCATCTTGTAGAAAATGATACTTGAACTACGAAAAATTCGGAATTAGACATCAAATCAACCCCAATCCAGAAAAAAAAAAAAAGTTTTTACTGTTTAGAAAGAAACAAAAAGCCATCATTCCAGAGACCCTATACCAGAACAAAGAAATCATTTGTGGAGAAGAAAGAAGAAAACACCCAGAGGAAATGCATAATTATATTGAGAAAATGTAAAATCTACTGATATACCTACCTGCAGATGGAAATGCTGGGCAGAACAAATGGGTCTTGGATTGAGAGAAATTCAATATATTTCGAAGAAAAATAACAAAGGATTTCGTGGAAATTTGGGACACATAAAAATGTCATTGAGTAATGGGGTAAGGTAACTGTACGCTTGGCATTTAGGAGGAGGGGAGGAAGACAGAGAGGATGGCGGGAGAAAACGAGGCAGAGAAAGGCGAGTCATGAGCGCTCGCCTTTTTGGTGCGCAATGAACCTGGCCATGTGAGTCATCCCGTGATCTTCCTTGATTTTTTTTTTTTTTTTTTTGGGTACATTTCATGCTAGTGGTGAATTGATCAAAGCATAGTGATAGGTTTATGAGCACATATGTCTAGTTTCCCTATTAATGTATTTTTTTTGGAGCTCGTTACCATGTCTTATTTTGCCCTCGCTTTATGAATGCTTAGTTTTAAAAGAAGTTAGGTCTGACAAAAAACGAAAAGAAAATAGAACTGGAGAGATCAAATGAGAATTATCATATAACTTCTTGCCCACTTTAAGCTCAAGTCCACTTTAATATTTTTAATTATTGTTGTAAAACTTATAGGCTTAACCAGCTACTTTTAGGTTCTCAAGGAGATAAACTGTTGATTGAAATTCTGAAGCTTCTAGGCTTCCTTTTTTTTTCTTTTGTTGTTGTTGTTGTTGTTGTTGTTGGTAAAATAGGGGGCAAATCCCAAACCAAAAAGACTACACAGGAACAAATCTAGGCCTCAAGAGACCATTCTTATCATCATCTAAAATAGGCTGCAACTGATCAGGAGGAGAAGAGAGCTTAGGATAACCCAAATCCTTATGATGATCCATCTTAGCTAGGAAATTAGCAGCAAAATTGGTCTCCCTGTAGACACGAAGAACGCAACAATTCCACTGATTTTTTAAAAGCTCTCTGCACTTGGTAAGTAACATAGACATAGGATGAAAGTCCACCCAATCTCCATTAATCATATCAACAACAAGGGCAGAATCAGAATTAACCATTATCTGGCGCAAACCTAGCTGCCAAGCAAGATTAAGACCATAATATAAGGCCCAAGCTTCAGCCACAAAGACTTCACCATGACCAAGATTAGCAGAAAAACCTGCTATCCAGTTACCATCCAAGTTCCTAATTATACCTCATGCAGCAATGCACCCAGAATCACTCATTCTAGAGCCATCAATATTAAGCTTAAAGAAGCCACAAGGAGGAGGCTGCGAAGCAAGAAACATCTGAGTTTGAGAGGTAGCCTTCTTTATGAGGTTATTAGCCTTATCCCAATCCATAAGATACTCAACAATAGTCTGATTAGGACGACAAGGCATTTGGAAATGAGGCTCAAAGATAGAGCGACACCTCCATTTCCAAATGAACCAGCAAGCAACAGCAAAAATACTAGACCACTTCAAATTCCTTATATGCCCAGCATTGTAACACAAATTTTCCTTCAACCAACTATCAAAATCAGAGGAAAAGAAATTGGTCAATCCTTCAGGAAGATAGAAGGATCTCCAAAGCGCAAGAACACGAGGACAGGAGATAAAGAGATGCTGTAAAGACTCCTCATGATAATGACAGAAAGGACAAGAAGGGTCCCTAGAAAGGTGCCTTCTTACTCTCTGCACATTAGTTAAGATGTTTTTTTGAGTGAGAAGCCAAGTGAACATTTTAACACGGGGAAGGATCTTCAAATTCCAAATGAACTTCCAAGGAGAACCAGTGACTTAATTAAACCTGGCAGATAACTCATAAGCAGTCTTCATAGAAAAAACTTCATTTGAAGAGGGACCCCATATACAAGTATCAGGTATATTCCCTTCAACATCTACATGAATACTGATGATCTGCTTAATGGCTTCCGGGAGAAGAGCCTGCAGGAGCTTCTTAATGTTCCAACTAGTCCTAGAAAAATAATTAGACACAGTTTCAGCTTTGTCAAGCTGATCAGATAAAGGAAAAATAGTCTCCACCAAAGGAACATCACCAATCCAAGTATCAGTCCACAATTTGACTCTAGTGCCATCTCCCACTCTCCATTTCATACCCTTATTTAAAATGGCAGCTCCATATATTAATCCTTTCCAAGAGTTGGAAGCCAAAGTACAATTATCATCATAAGCATCGAAACAGCAACTACCCCTTAAGTACTTTTTCCTGAGCATCGCAGCCCAAAGACCAGAGTCCCCAGCCACAATTCTCCAACTAGCTTTAGATAACATAGCTTGATTCATAAGAGAAGCCTTTTAATACCCAAACCTCCTAGACGTTTAGGCAAACAAACTGTATCCCATTTAACTAAATGAGTTTTATAATGGTTCTCACTACTTCCCCAAAGAAAACTTTTAGAAGATTTGTCAAGGTCTTCACAAAGGGCTTGAGGAAGCATAGCCGTTTGCATAGTATATAGAGGAATAGAAGAAGCAACAGACTGGATTAAAGTGATTCTTCTAGCCATAGAAAGCAACTAACTTTTCCAAGCAAGTTTAGCCTGAATTTTAACCAGAACCCCCTTAAACGTAGCCTTGGTAACCCTCCCTTGGACAAGGGGAACTCCTAAATAATTCCCCATATCAGCGGATTTGGTGGCACCACAAGTTAACTCAATTTGATCAACAAGGTCAGACTTAGTATTGGCAGATATGTACAACAAAGATTTCTCAAAATTCACTTGCTGCCCAGAAAGATCACAAAACTCCTCAAGAGAATTTTTCATAACCATAGCTTGCTGAGCAGAAGCCTCACCAAAAAGAATGAAGTCATCCGCAAAGAACAGATGCGAGATTAAAGACCATACCTTACTGCTCTAACAGCTTTCCACTCCTTCTTTAACACCCTAGCAGAGCAGTAATGATGTGACTAAGCTTTTCCATACATAAGACAAAGAGGTAAGGGGAAAGAGGGTCACCTTGTCGAACATCTCTTTGAGGTTTGAAACTCTCAGTATGCTCTGTTAAATAACCCGCCTTCTAGATCTTGTTCTTTGATGTAACCAACGGCAATAGACTAAACTAGCAAATATTAAAACACTTAGAAACACACAAGAATTATACTGGTTCGGCAGAACTTTTGCCTACGTCCAGTTGTGATTTCTCTAGGTAGAGAAATCACCGCTCCTTTGATTAATAATAGAGATTACAGAACTTTTGCAACCCTAGAACTAATCTCAAAACTCTTGGCTGTCTCTGGCTGTTTTTCCTCTCTTTAAAATAAGCCTTGCCACACCCTATTTATAGATATAGAGTTGGCTTACATGTCCCAAGGCTGATTGGATTCCTATTCCTAAGTAGATTAGGAAATTACACTTATCCAAATCCTAATAGACTTCTAGAAATCCAAACCTGAATTGAATAAGGAAAACTGAAATTCTTTCCTAATCCCTCTAGGACAAGAATTGGTATACCTCTAATTTTCCTAAAACAATCCTAAACCAACGAGGACATATTTGACGAGCCAAAACTCCATTCAAGATAATTTTGTAAGAGACATTCTTGACACAGCTCATAATGAGATGAAGAGATGTTTCCCCAATACCAATTTCTGCAAGAGTTTGCTCGATAAAAGACCATTTCAATCTGTCATACGCCTTAGAGAGGTCAATTTTCCAAGCTATATACCCGGTTTTACCTCTTGCTCTATGGAATCTATGCAAAACCTCTTGAGCAATGAAGATATTATCTGAAATTTGTCGTCTAGTAACAAAGCTAACTTGATTGGGGCTAACAAGCTTACACATAAGAGGTCTGAGCCTTCCAACAATGATCTAAGAAACAACTTTATATAAAGTGTTACAAAGACTAATAAGACGGAACTGCAGCATGCTCTGAGGATTAGTGATTTTAGGAACTAGAGTAACAAGGGTACTGTTCAAGGACTCAGGAACTGAACCACTAGAAAAATATTTAAACACCAAATCTTCAATATCCTTCTTACAAAGCGACCAATAATTATGGAAGAAAATAGCAGAGTAGCCATCGGGACCAGGAGCCTTGTAGGGACCAATAGCAAAAATGGCATCCTGCACCTCCTTTTCAGTCACCTCCTTACTGACAGCAGCCAAATCAGCCTCAGGAATATGAGGGAAAAGCCAAATCAGGCTTCTTTCTTTTCTTTTGTTGCACAACCCTTCTCTTATAGGTGCTGTTGCCTCTTTGTACTTTGTCTGAACAATTAATGAAAGTTATCACTTCTTTTTTGCTCTAGTTCATCTCTTCCTTGTTTTCTCTTTAATTGGTGTGTGAGATTTTTGTGCGTTTGCTTGACTGGTTAGTTAATCTATTGTGGGGTTGTGTTTCAATTGTTGTTTTCTATATCTAGTATCAGAACAAATGGGTCTTGGATTAAGACAAATTCAATATATTTCGAAGAAAAATAACAAAAGATTTGATTGAAATTTGGGGGTATATATTTAGATCCAAAAAGAGTCAAGATTCTCTATCCATGTTTTTGTCTGTCCCTCCCTCTCACTATCTTAATTTTTTGACACCTAGTATCCGACTTAATCCTAAAATAACAATGTTAGACTTTAAGAAAAATAAAAATAATAAAAACTAATAATTGAAGAAAATCAAATGACCCTACAGTCATCAAAACTCTTTCGTTTGATTCTACACTAATTTTAGGCCATGGCAAATCTTTGCTTCCCACTAGAGATTCTAATAGATATACAACAATTTTTACAACAAAAGTACACTAAAAATTGGGTATGTACCTAAATCTTCAACCTCTTTCTCAGAAAGGCTTTTGGAGAAGAGTAGACAAGTGAATTCAACCTCACCATTCTTCAACCCACCCAATTGCCCAACGATGCAAATCTCATTCTTATTGAGAAAACTCTAACTCTCACCAACAACAGTGGAGGATGGGGATGGATAAATTTGGTGGAGGAAGGGAGGCAATGAGAGAAGCAGAGTAGAGAATAGGGTAATTGAGGGGATTCCAACTTTCAGCCACGTTCTAGCGATACTCCTATCAGAGTGCAGCAA